GGTGGGTGTGTGCCAGAGGGCCCTCGGGTGCATACATTGGGGCAGATGGGTGCACTGGGGTGTCCACAGGTGCATTCAGGGGGCATGGGTGTGTGCAGGAGGTCAGGTGGGTGCACACAGGGGGCTTGGTGCATACTGGGGGGCCCACGGATGCATGCAGGGGGCAGGTGGGTGTGTGCAAGGGGGCAGTGAGGCAGGTCGGTGCGTGCAGCAGGGAATGAAAGCCGGTGGGTGCGTGTCAGGGGCACTGAGGTCAGGCTCATCATTGTCCTGGGGTCAGTCCCAGGCAGGGTCTTGCCAGCCCAGGGCAGTCCTTGCTGCTCAACGGTGTGATATGGCTTCCAGCTAGGGATGCTTTGCCTGTGGGGTCTCTTGCTGGAGGTCAGAGGTGGCTGGAAAAAAAAAACTGAGTCAATTGGACAGTGCAGACCCCAGTGAGAGTGGAGGCAGTGAAATCCTCTTTCTGTTCTTCTTGGCGTCTTCACTGTTGACGCTCTACCCACCACGATGCCCCTCAGGGAGGCAGTTGGCAGTTTCTGTACCTGATTTGTGCTGGTGCAGGCCCGTGATGGGGCCTGTGTGGAGTCCTCCCTGCAAACACATGCAAGGATCCTCATGGAACGTGCTCAGCCACTGTGAGGGATGGAGAAATCACGTCGACTGTTTCCATGTGACTCACAGGGACAAATACACACTATGGCACCATCTCCCAGAGGCACACATGGCTTTCAAAGAGAAGGGTGTAATTACACCCAGACACAGGAAGATGCTGGTATCAGCAATCCTGACACTACTATTGGCTATGGGCCTATAGGGGTCAACCTGCCAGGTCTCAGGAAAGAATAGATTTGGGGGCCATGAGCAGCATAGAAATATTCAGCCAGGAGCCCAGAAGTTCGCTATGACATCTCCATCACTGGGATGGAGATATAGAACTGGATTGTGAGCCAAAACTAAGCCTGATCCACACAATTGGCCAGCCCCTGAAATCAACCCTAAGCCTGACTGGCACCCTAACCCATGCCCTCCACTCAGCCCTTCAGGGAGATCACGGGAGCACTCGAGGTTCAGGCCGTGACACCTCCCATGACCTAATTCTAACTCTAGCCATGGCTCTGACCCTAAAGAGGCCCAACTCTCAGGTCTAAGGAAAAAACAGATTTGGGAACCATGACAGGTGCAGAATCAATGAGGAGCCCAGAAGTTCACCGTGACTTTTCAAAGGGATGGAGATACAGAAGGGGATTCTAAGCCAAAACCTAAGCATGGACCATACAATCAGCTGGCCCTGAACTCGAACTCTAAGTTTGACTCACACCCTAACCTCTCTCACTCTACTCAGTCCTCAGAAAGATCACAGTATCCCTGGCAGTTCAGGCCCTGACATCTCCTGGAACCTAACCCTAACCGTAGCCATGGCTCTGGTCCTATAAGAGCCCACCTGCCAGCTCTGAGGAAAGAACCAGTTGTAGCCCATGACCAACAATGAAATATTCAGTGAGTAACCCAGAAGTTCTTCATGGCATTTCCAGGGTTGGGGTGCAGCTGTTGCAGAAGGGAATCCTGAGTCAAACCTAAGCCTGGACTTCTCCATAAACTGGCCCCTGATCCTGAACCCTAAGCCTGACCTGCACCCTAACCTTGGCCCTCAATTCTGCCCTCCTGGCATATCACTGCGCTGCTTGTGGTTCAGGACTTGATACCTCCCAGGACCTAACCCTAACCCTAGCCATGGCTCTGGCCCTAAAACCTGCCAGATCTGGGGAAAAAACAGTTGTGGACCAATGACCGGGGCAGAAATATTAAGCGTGGAGCCTAGAAGGTTGCCATGATATTTCCTGGGCTGGGATGGAAATAGAGAAGGGGACCCTGAGCAAAACCTGAGCCTGTCCCACAAAAGGGGCCAGCCCTGACCACGAACACTAAGCCTGACCTGCACCCTGACCAGTGCCATAAACTGAGCCTTCTGGGGAGACCACTACACTATTGGCAGTTTAGGCCAACACCTCACTGGACTTAACCATAAACCTAGTCATGGCTCTGGCTCTAAAGAAGCCAAACTGCTAGGTCAGAGAAAAGAAGAAATTTGGGGCCCATAAACAACACATGAAAGTTCATCAAGGAATCCTGAATTATTCCATGGCATTTCCAAAGCCAGGATGGACCTTCGGAAGGGGATTCTGAGACAAAACATAAGTGGGGCCTATACCATCAGCTGGCCCTGAAAACAAACCTAAACCTGCCCTCAACCCAACCCTAAAACTTAACCCTGACTCTGACCCTAACTTCTAACCCCTAACCACTAAACCAAACCCTAATGCTATCCCTTACCCTTAACCCGAACATCAACTCGGACCTGAACCCTAACCTTACATTGACCCTGAAACTAATCTTGACACTAACCCTTCACCCTAACCCTAACCTTAACCCCTAAAATTAACCCAAACTCTAACCCCTAAAATTAACCTTATCCCTAACCCTAACAGTAACTCTAAACCATAACCTTGACCCTGACCCTGACCCTGACCCAGACCCTAACCCTAACCCCTAAGCCTAACTCTAACCATAATCTTAACCCCTAACCCCTATTCCTATCCCTAATACTAAACCTAACTATAACCCTAACCTTAATCCTGACTCTGACCTTGATGCTGACTCTGACCCTAACTCCTGAACCCAAACACTAACCCAAACTCTAACCCTTTTATAAACAGGAGTTTTCATATAAAAATTCGTATTCTCTAGGCCTTAAGGTGAGCTGACAGTGCCTGGCCTCCTTTACCAAGTCAAGCTGAGGCTGACAGCACCACGTTTCCTTCAAGTTAAGAGCAATTGCATTCGCAGGCCAGAGCCAGAGCCCTCACGTTAGTTGCCACACGCCGCCTACTGGTGGCGCTGTTGTTCTCAAGCCGGCAGCGTCCCAGGTTTGCTCCAGTTCCTTCTTCCTGCGAGCTCGTGTTTGGGGTCCTTGGTCCAGAGTGAAACGCGCTCGGCAGAGCCGGCAGAGGGCGCTGTGGGAGCGCACGGGAGAGGCGCAGCCGGCACCTGCCGGGGTGAGCAGGGTGTGGTCTGCGCTTCCTCCACCCGTACAGAGTCAGGGCATGAGTTCCTGGGATGTACCTACATTGTTCATCCAGTCATGGGTGACTTACTCATCCATTCAAGCACACATTCAGCAAGTGGTTAGTAAATATTTGCTGTATGTTTGGCACTGTGCCAGGCCCTGTCCTTAGCTCCCAAGAGTTTAAAATGTGATTAGGAATTCAAGATATAAGACTATGCCCCCGCCATTTTATTATGACTCACTCACCAAGCTCCCCAAAAATATCTAGCACTACTTTCTGGCACACAGTAGGTGTTCTACCAATACTTGTATTAATGAATGAAATGATAACTAATAAGAATGCCTGTCATTTACTGAGCTCTTCCACCTGTACATGTACTGTCTCCCTTCTCAAGATAAGTTATCTTCCTGTTTTAATGATAAAGAAGTGAGGCACAGAGAGGTTATTTGAACTGCCTGAGTTCACACAGCCAGTGTGAACTCTTAGCCACAATTCCATGTTCCATCTCAGCAGTGCAAGGCAGGATGTGCTCAGGGCCAAGGTGTAGCACACACAGGGCTGTCTTGGACTTTCAGAGGCCAAGAAGTAAGACAGGTTGAGAAGGGAGGGAAGGTTTCATGAAGACTGGACAGAGGGGAGATGCTGGACGGAGCACAAAGTTAAGGGACAGCACCCATACAAGTCCTCCACAAGCGCTTCCTGGGTGGAGAGGGGAGGCTGTCAATAAGGACACGATCCTTCAGCAAATGTGAGGTCTCCCATCTGCCCAGCCCTGGGCTGTGAGCTCTGGAGGGTACGAACATGAAGAAGAGCTTTCCTCGAGGATCTACAGGCAATTGTCAGACAAGGCAAAATATGTACAAAACCGACTCCAGGGGAGGAAGTGTTGAGAGCCGGAAGTGGAGTGCAGCAGTTTTTCTGGAGGAACAGTTGTTTCCCATTGGGAAGACCAGAGCAGGCTCCTGGGCAAGGTGGCATCTGAACTGAGCCATGAGGGGTCGGCAGGACTGCACCCTGTCATGGACAAAGGGCACTCGGGTGACAGCACCAAAGATGAAGGCCTGGTGTGCATGTGGCAGGTGGCCCCTCTGTGACCCCAGGGGAGGACAAGGGTGCGGGAGGGGAGGCTGACGGGGCAGGACAGGTGCTTCCTGAGAGCTCTGTGTGCTGTGCCAAGCAGCTCAGCTTTCTCCCCGCCCCCGCCCCCGCCCCCTCCCCGGAGCAGGGAAGGTTTGTAGCCAGGGAGGGACAGGTGTTGCCCAAGGAGAAGCTACATAAAAATATCCGTCTTCTGTGTTGTAAATTGCTAGAGGGCAGGGATCCCAGGTGGGGTCAGGAGTTAGAGCAGTAATGCTGAGGCCTCTGGAAACGTGTTCACCCTGGGGATCTCTTGCTCAGACTGGAAGAGGGGTGTGTAACCAGGATCGCCCCTAACCAGGAACCAGGATGTCTGGGCCCAGTTCCTGCTATGTCACCAACCTGGTCCCTCTCTGGGCATAGTTTCCTCATCTGCAGTGCGAAGGGGTGGAGTACCTCTAACGGCCCTCCTAACCCCGACTCATTCCCTATGAATCTAAGAACCCCGTGCCCCCACCTCAGCCTCCAAGGAGTACTTATCACAGAGCGAGGCAGGCAGGGGAAGGCTCAGCCACCCTTACTGGGTGGCACACATGGGGGAGGCAGAGCCAGCAGCCACTGACTGACCCAGCCTCAGCAGGTCTAGGGGAGCAGTGAGGGTTTCCAGAGGAGAGGCGGCCTGCTGGCTTGCTCAGGTTGGGCAGGGGATTGGGGTGGAGGGGAAGTGAGCTACCCAGCTTCCTCCCAAACCAGCTCCAGACCCAGGGCTGGGCATTTCACAAAAGAGCCCAGGGAGCTTTGTGAACATTTCCTGTCCCACCCCAGCCCCTTTCCTGGCACTGACAGCCCAGCTCAGGGTTACCACACTGCTCACCTGTGAAGCAATCTTCCCGCGAGAGCTGAGTATCCGACCAGGGGCTGCCTATAAATGTTGGACACACACAGTGCTGTCAAACCCCTTTGTGTGGCTTCTTGGCAGGTAAGTGAGCCATCAGCTTCCACAAGCAGGAGCTGCCTGCTGACTCTTTCTTTACTTTCCTTCCACCCATCTTCTTTTCAAGGCCTCCTCCTGGAAGCCCTCCTCGATTGGCCCACACAGTTAAAATTTTCCTCACATTTTTTTGGCTCATATTCTGCTGGAGCCTCTTGTCCTCAACTGCACTGCTCTTTGGCATTTTCTAGATATTCCATCCCTCCTGTGTGTGGAGCAGCATCTTCTCTCGGGCCAGTTGGAGCTATTCTTTCTTTTCCTTCTGTGTTTCCCCTTTTGTTCCTAAGGGCAGCCTGTGGGAGGGGAGCTCTGCAGCCTTTTCTTCTCAGCACCCGAACCCTTGCCCGCCCCCCTCTGCAGACAGAGTGGCAGAAAGATGGCGGACGAGCTGTCACAGTTGGAGTGCAACATTGAGACCATCATCAACATCTTCCACCAGTATTCTGTGCGGCTGGGGCACCCGGACAAGCTCAACCAGAGAGAACTAAAACAGATGGTGAAAAAAGAGCTGCCAAACTTTCTCAAGGTAGGCTGGGCTCCTTGCAGGCCTGACACAGCCTGGAGACAGTCTGGGCTAAGGATGGAGGGTGGGGTGCAGTCTGCAACGGTCAAGGAGAAACGTCTAGCTCCTTCAGCCCAGCCTCCCTGTCACTAGAGTTACTCCAAGTTAGACAGCAGACAGAGCTGAAAAGGATTGACTGACAGAAGTGCCGTGTGGGGGGCCCTGTCCTGGGGAGGGGCGCATAGTGGCAAACAGGGACCTGCTGTCTATAACATACAGCAAAGATGTTGGCCAGTAAAGAGCACAGGAAAACCCAGTGCCAGTAAGTCCCCCAAAGAACGTAAGAGAGAGTGCTGTGGGTGACATGGGCTGGGCGGGGACAGTGGCTATCTGGGTGGACAGAAAGGGGCCCTCCAAGGAGGTGATTTTGGGCTGACGCCTGAATTGAGGAGGGAAGCAACTGAGGACGACCCTTGGCGGGAGCTGAGCAGACACCAAACCTCAGCTGGTGTTGGAATGCAAAGGCTGAGGGGCCTTTCTAACCTAAGTTTCCATAGAAACACAGGCACTACATGCAGGAAGCACCCAGCTATCAGTGGCATGCACAAAGCACTCAGTAACATGTTCATTTATTCCCTGATCTGAAAATAAGAGGCAATTCTAGGAAAAAGGATTAGTTCCACTTGATCTTTCAGTTTTCTTTATAAGTTTGGGGACTTGGGGTACAGAGGCCTGGACCAAGAAGGGTGAGACGCCCGCGTCCCAGACTCAGTTCTGTTCCTAGAGCCGGTGGCAGCCCTCCCTTCCACTTCAGTAGGCAGTACTGGGGATGCTGACTCGGGGTCAAGGTGCATAAGACACTGGGAAGAAGGGTGCTGGGCCAGGATAAACAAGAGAGATACAGTCAAGAGTTTGTAGGGTGGGTTCTCCTCAGGGTGACCCCTCTGCCTGCCCCACCACCCACCTCCCTCATCCTCTGCCAGAAGCAGAATGGTAGTCCAGGAGGAGAGGCTGGGACCCAGCCAAGCAGCTGCTCCAGAATGAGTTCTCTGGCCGGGCAGGGGAGACGTGTAGAAAGAGAGCTGTGTGGGAGCACCGCAGACATGGGAAGGGCCTGGGAGCAGAGCAGTGCTGGGAGGGGACCTGGCTGAGCTACCCCAGCCAGTGGGTAGGACCCACTGAAGCTCCCCTCTGCCCTGCCTGGACCCTCCCCTGCCCTGGCTGCTTCATAGCACCCTGTGGGGTCAGTGGAGAACCAACACTGCTCTGTGTCCCCACAAGCTATGAGCCATCTTGCTTTCCTCAGGGGCTTACCCACTGTGCAGGCTGAGATGCAGATGGGTGTCCCAAATGAGAGACCTAGAGAGGGAAGAGAGGGGGGGAAGGGGAGGGAGCAGGATGGACAGGTAGAAGGACTGGGACAGGGCAGGGCTCGTTTGTGCTCTGCAGCTCCCAAGCTTCCTCAATCTGCAAAAACCAGCTGCCTTTTTCTAAGTGAGTTTCCTCAAGTCTTCCTCAAGGAAGATACCAAGTCCACCTGTTAGACTTGTTATAAAGACCAAATGAGATGACATTCTGTACATACTAATTGTGTGACCTCAAGCAAGTCACTTGACCTCAGTTCCTCTGCAAAATGGAGAGAATCGTAGTGCTCACATCATATGCAGACTAAATCAGAGTGTCTAGAGCAAGCTCAGCATCTGCTACCCTGTGGGCATCAGTCAATGGTCATTTTTAATTTTATAACTGAGGTCCAGGAGCCAGGCTTCCCTGTACCTTTGCCTAGGGTCATTTGCTGAGCTCCCTGTCCCTAACGCTGGCAGCACTCAGCCCTGACTGCCATGTCACCCCCACCCACAGAAGCAGAAGAAGAATGACCATGCCATAAACAAGATAATGGAGGACCTGGACACAAATGGAGACAAGGAGCTGAACTTCGAGGAGTTCTCCATGCTGGTGGCCAGGCTGACGGTAGCCTCCCATGAGGAGATGCACAAGAACGCCCCGGAAGGAGAAGGCCACAGCCATGGGCCAGGCTTTGGGGAGGGTACCCAGGGCCACTGCCATAGCCATGGTGGCCACGGCCACAGCCATGGTGGCCATGGCCACAGCCACTAATCAGGAGGCCAGGACACCCTTCCCCCACCGACCTAGGGCCACAGGGTGGCAAAGCCAAACTGCCTTAGCTGGGGGGCTGGGAACAGGGAGCAAAATAAAGTCTTCCATCAAGTCAGAGCTCTGTGTGCTTCTTTCAACTCTCCCTTCCCACCTGTCCTTCTGGGGGCCTGGGTGTTACATGGCCCTGCCCGTTAACTGGGGCTCAACCCCTTCATTTGGTAATAACAGAGTGAGAAACCACGATAATGCGTGTCTGCTCTGAGCCCCTTGGGTTCACTGCCCTATTTCCTTACCTCTGACCTTAGGCACCATGGCTCAGTCCCAGTCAACCCACTCCAGCTCAGGACTTCCTTGTACTGCCTGTCAAATTGGCCCTTGTCTCCATAAAAAACAAAAGGGGTTATCCCTGTCCCTCGACATGCCAGCCACCCCCTACCTAGCCTTGACCTCCCCCTTCCCCCAGTGCTGTCCAACATCTTCCACAACCACCTGTCTCCTAAGAGAACCTTATTTCTCTGGAAATTGTCCAGAGATACACCTATGGCCACATCTGGGGAGGAACTGTATTGGGTGTATTTACCCACAAATTTGGTTTTGAATCAATGGGAGCAAATACGTGTCTTTCTGTAGACCTAGCCTCCTTATCATGGATGGACACTGGGGCAGGTGAAGGCATAGATGAGAGTGGGGGATTCTGGCCCCACACCCATCCAGCCCCAGCAGGATGGAGAGAGAGAGCTCCTGCCTGCTGATTGGAAGAATGAACTCTTCCAATGGCCCTGCAACTATAAAAGGCTCAACCACCACCATGAGGAAGGTGGACTTTGGGTCCAGGGAACCTATTGCGCCTGAGGATTCTAATTCTAAGCCTTAAGGGCAAGCTGACCTCCCTGAGGTGACTGAGGTTCCTGAAGTCCCTGGTGGAAGGCTGAGAATCCAGCCTAGCAGGGGCATTTGCTCCCAGTCACAAAAACAATGCCAGGGCTTGGCTCACAGCTTCCCTATGGCTGCTGCTGAAGCTGCTGCTCCTGCCTCAAGCAGCCTCCATGCCCAGTCTCTCATTTCAAAGACTCTCAGACGACTCCTCTGCCACCTCTGGCCTGAGCGCTTCAGCAGAAAGTGCCTTTCCCACCAGGCTGGGGTTGGCCTTCTAAAAATCAGAGCCCAAATCAGGGTTGTGTGCCCTGCTCTGCCTTTCCAGCAGAGAGAACGCTTTGACAGATCTAGGATTTGGGGAGCTGGAAAGAGATCAACACTCATCTATCCCCAACAAATGAAGGGAGTGAGACACAGAGTGGAGAAGAGACCAGTACAAGGCCATAAAGTGATGTAGCTGGTCAAAATAGTGCAGAAGGGAAAAGGCCTTGAATCCCATCTTCTCCATAAGCTAGATATTCCAGCTCCTTCCTCATTGCTGAGCATGGGGAGAGTTGCAAGTCAGGTTCCACCTTCTCACACTGCTTGGCTGTAGTCAGCGGACTGTGCAGGTCTCTGCCCAAAGGGCTCAGGGGCCTCTGCTATGGGCACAGGGATTTAATGGCGCCCACTTGAGGGTGTTTCCAGGAACTGCTCCAGGCTGTGAGCTTGGGGAGCAAAGTTGTTTTTGCTTTGTCTTTGTTTTTAGCTTATTTATTTATTTTTTAGAGAGAGAGTGCAAGCAGGAGAGCGGCAAAGAGACAGGGAGAGAGAGAATCCCAAGCAGGCTCCGCACTGTCTGCACAGAACTCAGTGCAGGACTCCATCCCACCAATTGTGAGATCATGACTTGAGCTGAAATCAAGAGTCGGATACTTAACCGACAGAGCCAGCCAGGCACTCCAGAGAGCAGAGTTTAGAAGCCCCCAGTCCCTTCCCTGCCTGACTTAAGGAGCCAACAGCTCAGGAAACTCATCTTCTGACAGCCCTTCTCCCTAACCCTCACGTCCAGGCAGAGGTCACCTTCTGGATGCAGCTTGCTAGGGGAAAGAGAACCAGGGATTGGGATACCCCAGGTAGGGCAGCTGCCCCCACACCCTCTACCGACCCTCACTTTTCGCAATGTGCCGTAAATGTTTGAGACTCTGCCTCCCCACTATCCTGTGAGCTCCATGAGGGCCAAGTGTCTGCTTACCTCTGCTCTCGTGGGCGGTGTGGAGAAAAGGAGGAGGAGGCAGTGGATTACAATTGGCAGATGGAAGGCTTCTGTATATCATCACAGAGTCTCACACTGGAAGGTAGGGGGCAGCAAGGTGATGAGAATCTGAAGCCCACCACCCCCAAAGCTTTATTCAGTCATCCCAGCTTTATCTGTTGCACGCTAGAAGCTTCCATTTGTAGAAAAGGGGATTTATCTTGAAAAAAGTTCGAAAATTGCTGCTTAAGCCCAACCTGCTCCACCCCCGTGCTTGATGGATTCTCCCCAGTGATGATTCGGGCTGAACTCCTCCAGGTAGGGGACCATCTTAATGTGACATCTAGAAAGTTCTCCATCACACCAAGCTAAAATCTGTCTCCTGTGCCTGCTGGGCATTAATCCTAGTTTCCCTCCCACATCCTTAGGGTTACAGAATAATTCTAACCCCCTCCATCCATGCAGCCACCCACCCACTTTTTCAAAGTATTTTCTGCAAATGGTATCCAGGCCTTCTCCAGCCTCTGCGCCTTTACACCAGGAATGCTCTTACCGCCCTGGTGTCTCTAGCACGTCTCCTGGGACCTGTGAAGGCCCAGAGTCTGTCACTCCCTTCACGAAGATGTCCCTGACCACCTCCTTCTGCAAACATGCAGGGTCTTACCCCTCCTACCATTGCACTTCTAATAGACTTGTAACCCCTTATCAAATCTGATGATGGTGCTGAAGGCAGAAATTATGGCTGACTTGCTCCAAATCCCCAGGTGCTGGAATGAGCGTTACAGATGAGCAAGTAAAAGTAAGGTGGTCCTAGGACCCTGTGGAGCCAGAGAGGTTCCTGGAGGGGGCAACTGAAGATCGAGAAGGCAGGGGACAGAGCTTCATAGATGCCAAGGGTTCTCCCCTTCCCTTCCCCCTCTCTGCTGCACTCAGTCTGAGAGTAGGACATGGTTCTAGAACCCAGGGGAAGGTCTAAGAGTAAGCCACTTTTACAGAGCCCTGTGGGGTTTTCCTCAAACACAGTTCAAGAGAGCTAATAAAGGTGATTTAGCCTTTCCCATCCCATTAGCCCCTTCCATTCCAAAAGGCTGGTTCTGCAATTGATCCTGAAAGTTGTATGGAACTACAAAAGACCATGAATAGCCAAAGTAATCTTGAGAAAGAATAACAAACTAGGACGCCTGGGTGGCTCAGTGGGTAAAGCATCCAACTTCAGCACAGACCATGATCTCTCGGTTTGTGAATTCAAGCCCCGCATCAGCCTCTGTGCTGTTGGTGCAGAGCCTGGAGCCTGCTTCAGATTCTGAGTCTCCCTCCCTTTCTGCCCCTCCCCTGTTCACACTTTGTCTCTCTCTCTCTCTCAAAAATGGATAAACATTTAAAAAAAATTTTAAAGAAGAACAAAACTGGAGGTACCACAATTCCAGATTTCAGGCTATATACTACAAAGCTGTGGTAATCCAAACCGTGTGGTATTAGCACAAAAATACCACATAAGGGCACCTGGGTTGGTTAACCCGGTTGGTTAACCATCTGACTTCAGGTGAGGTCATGATCTCACAGTTTGTGAGATGGAGCCCCACATTGGGCTCTCTGCTGTCAACATAGAGCCTGCTTCACATTCTCTGTCTTCCTCTCTCCCTGCCCCTCCCCACTCTCAAAAATAAACATTTTTTAAAATTAGACACATAGATCAGTGGAAAAGAGTAGAGAGGTCAGAAATAAACCCATGATTATATGGCCAATTAATCTATGACAAGGAAGGAAGAATATACAACGGAGAAAAATAGTCTCTTCAACAAATGGTGCTAAGAAAACTGGAAAGCCACATCCAAAAGGATTAAGTTTTTCTAACTTCCTTAATGCCATAGACATAAATAAACTCAAAATGGATTAAAGACCAAATGTGACCCCTAAAACCATAAAATTCCTAAAACATGGGCAATAAACTCTTGTACATTGGCCTTAGCAATATTTTTCTGGATATGTCTCCCCAGGCAAGGAAAACAAAAACAAAAATAAGCTATTGGGAGTTCATCAAACTAAAGAGGTTTTGCATAGTGAAGGAAACAATCAACAAAACAAAAGCAACCTACTGAATGGTAGAAGATGTTTGTAAATTATATATCTGATAAGGGATTAATATCTAAAATATAGGGATGGCCTGGGTAGCACAGTTGGTTAAGCATCCAACTTCAGCTCAGGTCATGATTTCATGGTTCATAGGTTCAAGCCCCACGTTGGGCCTGTGCTGACAGCTCAGAGCCTGGAGCCTGCTTCAGATTCTATGTCTTCTTCTCTCTACCCCTTCCCCATTTGTGCTCTCTCTCTCTCTCTCAAGAATAAATAAACATTAAAAAAATTTTAATCTAAAATATATTACATAATTCATATAACCCAACATCAAATAACTCCAAATAATTGAATTAAAAAATTGACCAAGGACCTGAACAGATATTTTCCCAAAGAAGACGTACAGATGGCCAATAGACCCATGGAAAGATGCTCAACATCACTCATCATTAGGGAAATGCAAATCAAAACCACAATTAGATATCAATTCATATCTGTCAGAATGGCTGTTATCAAAAAGAAAAAAAATAAGAATGTTGGTGAGGATGTGGAGGAAAGGAATCCTGGTGCACTATTGATGGGAATGTAGATTGGTCCAGCCACTGTGAAAAAGAGTATGGAATTTCCTCAAAATTTAAAAATAGAAGTGATTCCATTTCTGGGTATTTACCTGAAGAATACAAAAACACTAATTCAAAAAGATATATGTGCCCTTATGTTTATTGCAGCATTATTTACAATGGACAAAGTATGGAAGCAGCTCAAGTGTCCATCAGTAGATGAATGGATAAAGATATGCTGTGTATATAATATTGACTGAGTAATATCCCTCTGTGTGTGTGTGTGTGTGTGTGTAGTATCTTCTTTATCCATTCATCTATGGATGGACATTTTGGACTGATTCCATAGCTTGATATTGTAAATAACACTGCAA